TAAAGTTTATCCTACTTGGAGTTTGTTGAGCTTCATAAATGTATAGATTCATGTGCTTTTCATCAAATTTGAGAAGTTTGGGAACTTCATTTCTTCAAATTCAGACTTAAATTGAAGAAAGTAGGGAAAACCATTAGACCATTCAGGTATGATCTAAATCAAATTCCTTATTGATTATACAGTGGAAGTGACAAATAGATTCAAGGATTAGATCTGATAGACAGAATGCCTGAAGAACTATGGTTGGAGGTTTGTGACATTGTACAGGAGGCAGTGATCAAGACCATCCCCAAGAAAAAGAAATGCAAAAAGGTTGTCTGAGGAGGCCTTACAGATAGCTGAGAAAAGAAGAGAAGCTAAAGGTAAAGGAGAAAAGGAAAGATAAACTGATCTGAATACAGAGTTCCAAAGAATAGCACGGAGAGATTAGAAAGCCTTCCTCAGTGATCAATGCAAAGAAATAGAAGAAAACAATAGAATGGGAAAGACTAGAGATCTCTTCAAGAAAATTAGAGATACCAAGGGAACATTTCATGTAAAATTGGGCACAGTAAAGGACAGAAATGGTAGGGACCTAACAGAAGCAGAAGATATTAAGAAGGCAAGAATACACAGAAGAACTATACCAAAAAGACCTTCATGACCCAGATAATCACGATGGTGTGATTACCCACCTAGAGCCAGACATCCTGGAATGTGAAGTCAAGTGGGCCTTAGGAAGCATCACTACAAACAAAGCCAGTGGAGGTGATGGAATTCCAGTTGAGCTATTTCAAATCCTAAAAGATGATGTGAAAGTGCTGCACTGAATGTGCCAGCAAATTTAGGAAACTCAGCAGTGGCTACAGGACTGGACAAGGTCAGTTTTCATTCCAATCTCAAAGAAAGGCAATGCCAAAGAATGTTCAAACTACTGCACAGTTGCACTCATCTCACACACTAGCAAAGTAAAGCTCAAAATTCTCCAAGCTAGGCTTCAACAGTACATGAACTGTGAACTTCCAGATGTTCAAGCCAGATTTTGAAAAGGCAGAGGAACCAGAGATCAAATTGCCAACATACATTAGATCATAGAAAAAGCAAGAGAGTTCCAGAAAAATATCTACTTCTGCTTTATTGACTACGCCAAAGCCTTTGACTGTGTGGATCACAACAAATTGTGGAAAATTCTGAAAGAAATGGGAATACCTGACCACCTTACCTCCTTCCTGAGAAATCTGTATGCAGGTCAAGAAGCAACAGTTAGAACTAACTGGGTATGGATCAACAGACTGGTTCCAAATAGGAAAAGGAGTACGTCAAGGCTGTATATTGTCACCTGGCTTATTTAACTTCTATGCAGAGTACATCACAAGAAACGCTGTGCTGGATGAAGCACAAGCTGGAATCAAGGTTGCCGGGAGAAATATCAATAACCTCGTATATGCAGGTGACACCACCGTTATGGCAGAAAGCAAAGAAGAACTAAAGAGCCTCTTGATGAAAGTGAACGAGGAGAGTGAAAAAGCTGGCTTAAAACTCAACATTCAGAAAACGAAGATCATGGCATCTGCTCCCATTGCTTTGTGGCAAATAGATGGAGAAACCATGGAAAGAGAGATTTTATTTGGGGGGGGCTCCAAAATAACTTCATAGTGGCTACAGCCATGAAATTAAAAGATGCTTGCTCCTTAGAAGAAAAGCTATGACCAACCTAGACAGCATATTGAAAAGCAAAGCCGTTACTTTGCCATCAAAGGTCCATCTAGTCAAAGCTATGGTTTTTCTAGTAGTCCTGTCTAGATGTGAGAGTTGGACTATAAAGAAAGCTGAGCACAGAAGAATTGATGCTTTTGAACTGTGGTGTTGGAGAAAACTCTTGAGAGTCCCTTGGACTGCAAGGACATCAAATCAGTCAATCCTAAAGGAAATCAGTCCTGAATATTCATTGGAAGGACTGATGCTGAAACTCAAACTCCAGTACTTTGGTCACCTGATGCGAAGAACTGACTTCTTGGAAAAGACCCTGATGCTGGGAATGATTGAAGGCAGGAGGAGAAGGGGATGACAGAGGATGAGATGGTTGGATGGCATCACTGACTTGATGGATCGAGTTTAAGCAGGTTCTGGGAATTGATGATGGACAGGGAAGCCTGGCGTGCTGCAGTCCATGGGGTTGCAAAGAGTCAGAACAGCTGAGCGCCTGAATGGAACTGATCTCTTGAAATACTTTTTTTGTGCCTTTCTCCCTCTCTTCTCCTTCTCTGATGCTGGTATGCTTGATGGTGTCCCACAGTCTCTGAGACTTTTTTCTTCCTGTTTCTCAGTCTAGGTAATCTCAATTGGTTAATCTTTAATTTCACTGATTCCAGTTCACATCTGGTGTTGAGCCCTTAGTTAATTTTTTAATATCAGTTATTATATTTTTCAACTCCAGAATTTGTTTGGTTCTGTTTTTTTGAATATCTCTTTTGTTAGTATTTTGAATTTGCTGAGACATCATTCTCATATTTTCCTTTAATTCTTTTTTCCTTTTTAATGATTTTACTTTTTTAAAAAAACTTGAAGTATAGTTGTGTGACCATCACCACCATCTAATTCTAGAATGTCTTCATCACATAAAAAAAAAAGCTGTATTAGTTGATAACCACTCCCCATTTCCTTCCTCTCCTTAGGTCCTGGCAGCTACTGATCTACTTTTTTCTGTCTCTTTGCATTTGATTTATATGAATGTTTCATGTCAGTGGAATGTCACACTATCTGGCCTTCTATTTCTGGCTTCTTTCTCTTACCATAATGTCTTCGAGGTTCAGTCACACTGTAGCATTTATCAGTGTGCTCAGTCACTCAGTTGTGGCCAACTCTTTGCGACCCCATGGACTGTAGCCTGCCAGGGTCCTCTGTCCATGGAATTTTCCAGGCAAGAATACTGGAGTGGGTTGCCATTTCCTTCTCCAAGCATTTATCAATGTTTCATTCATTTTTTACGGTTGAATAATATACCATTGTATGGCTGTACCACATTTTGTTTATTCATTCATCAGTTGATAGACTTGGGTTGTTCCACTTTTGGGCTATTATGAATAATGATGCTATGGACATTCATGTGTAATTTTTTTTTTTTTTTTAATGAACTGATGTTTTTCAGTTTTCTTGGGTATATGCTTAAGAGTGGAATTGCTTGGTCTCACTGGCAACTCTCTGTTTAACATTTTGAGGCACTGCCAAACTGTTTTTCACAGTTGCAACATCATTTCACATTCTCACCAGCAACTTAGGAGGGTTCCGGTTTCTCTACATTCTCACCCACATTTATTTTCTGTTTTATTTTTTGTTTGTTTTTACTGTAGTCACGCTAGCATGTGTGAAGTGATACCTTACTGTGATTTATTTGTTTTTCCCTAGTAACTGTCCATGCTGGGCATCATTTCATTTGGCTATTGGCCAGTTGTATGTCTTTCAAGAAACATCAGTTCATGTAATTTGTGCATATTTTAATAGGTTGTCTTTTTTTAAAAAAAATTTTAAAGTTCTTGTATTCTGGATACTGGACCCTTAACAGATACATGATTTTCCATTATTTTTGCCCATGCTGTGGGTTGTCTTTTCACCTTGGTAGTAACCTTTGGTGCACAAATGTTTTTAGTTTTGATGAAGTCCAGCCTATCTATTTTTTCTCTTATTGTCTGTGTTTTAAGATGTCATGTCCAAGAAACCATTGCCTAAGCTAAGATCACAAAAATTTGCACCTATATTTTCTAAGAGCTTTAAAAGTTTGAGTTCTAACATTGAGGTCTTTGATCCATTTTGAGTTACTTTTTGTTTATAATATAAGAGAGGGGTTCTTATTTTTTTTTTGACATGAGGATATTTAGTTGTCCCATCATCATTTATTGAAAAGATCGTTCTTTCTCAACTGAATGGTTTTGCACCCTTGTCTGAAATCAGCTGACCATAGGTGTCTAGGTTTATTCCAGCTCTCAGCCGCGTTCCGGTTACGTGCATGTCTTTCCTTACGCTGGTGCTCTGCTGTCTCTGTTACTGTAGCTTTACACACCGAGGTTTTCAGACTGGGAAGTGTGAGTCCTCTGACGTCTTGTTTTCAGTACTTGGTAGGTTATCTTGGATCTCTTGTACTTCCATATACATTTTAGGATCAGCTTGCTTATTTCTGTGGAAAAGGTTCAAATTTTGACAGAGACTGCATTGAATTTGCAGATGAATTTGGTGAAGTAGTAATTTTTAAGCGTTACCAGTTTCATTCACATAAACTTTGAAAGCATGTAAAATGGGAAAAAGTTTAATGTTTATGATGTTTATTAAAAAATTGAGTGTGTGGGCCTTACTTGACCTTCTTGAATCATCTGGCAGAGGAATGGGGATGGACTCAGGAGCACCAGTGTGCAACACACAACAGAGAAAGGTGTTCCTCAGGGCTTTTCAAGACACTCACTGAGGCCGGTTCAAGGTGATAGTTTTCTTTCACAGGACACACAGTTTCTATGTGAGCAGCCTTCCATCCTTCAGCACTCCTGCTGAGTGTTTCTCTTGAGTAGGGATAGATATGATTGCCTTATTGTATGTAATGAATTTGAAAAATGAAACATTTGGGAACATATTTCTTACATATAGCTGTTTGATATCTCATTTCTTGAAAAGTTTATGAGAGTTTTTGATCAAAATTCTCTTGAACACAGAGCTACAAACAGTGCCAGTTTAGTTGGATTTATATGCTAGCTGGGTTAGGGTTGTACTTTTAGAGTATATGTTTGTATTCACAACACTTTTCTCATCTCTTGCTCTTACAACCTGTCTACCTTCCTGGGTTCCTAATGGAATTGTAGAATCGTAAAGGAGGCATGATAATTGGCTATAATGAATGAAAAGGTGGTTGTTTTCAGTCACTCAGTCGTGTGACCCTGTGACCTGACTCTGTGACCCCCATGGACTGCAGCATGCCAGGCTTCCCTGTCTTCCACTGTCTCCTGGAATTTGCTCAAACTCATGTGCATTGAATCGGTGATGTCATGGTATGACATATTTATTTTTATCTACCAAAAAAGCAAAGTGGAAAGAAAGAAAATCTAGTACTAATCAATAAGTAGACCAAGCTATATACGGACATCATGTAGACTACATATGTCATTCAATAAAATATGTTTGAACTATTGTTATGTCTGAGAGAGGAGATTATTAAGGCAAGTGTAAACCTAATTAGCTGTGGAGGGAGAATCACACTGCTTCACTATTGTTGGTTCAGAAATGACAACCAGAGATATTTAGACCTTGCTTTTTGTACCTATCCAGAGCCAGGGGTTGTGTAGAAGCCCCCTTAGGGTGTAGGAACTGGCACAGCCTCTTAGACTATCCTTCGATCATCTAGAGGGGAAATTGGTACTGGGTGAGGATGAGAAGCATCCTGTCTGCAAACCTATCAGCCACTCACCTCTCCAGGCTCTGACTTTCTGATGCTGCACCTTCGCCGACCTGGGTATCCTGAACAGACCTAAAGTCATCCTGCTTCAGGGTCTTTGCTGTGGTAGTCCTTTCACCTGATGAGCCCTGGCCATCACTCTTGCACTTTTCAAAACCTGTCATACAATCATGGCCTACATCCTTAAGGTAGAGTAACATTTTCTTCATAACAACCTTGATTTCTCAGGCTTTTGCTCATCGCTCCATTTCCCAACCCCCCTTAAGGTTTTGTGAGTGCTGTACTTCTCAGCAGTCCTAATCGGGTACTCTTCTAATCCTCTTGTGGATTTGTGAGCTCTTTGAGGTAAAAACAAGGGAATGCCAAACACAAACATTAGTCCAGGCCCTGCGCGATGTGTCACTTGTCAGCCTGAACTTTGAAGTGGTTTGTGTGGAATCAAACTTTTTTTGTTGTGTTATTTTTGTACTACAACTTGAGGAATTTTCTAACCATCATCATATCATAGTTCTTTTCTTTTATAAGGTTTCTTACTCATTTGGAGCCCACCTTTGTGGATGATAGCGTTTCAAGAGTTAATGTTCCAGAATTACTCACTGTCCTATAACTCTCCTAATTCTATCTTCTTTTCCCCCCCCCACAGGAAATGACTTAGAAGCCTTACAAATACATCTGTGCATTCTTGCTTCAGACTTTACAATTGAGGGCCAACCCTGTCTGGAAGCACTTCTTATTAATGTTACAAGGAAACCGCTACCTCAGCAAACAAAAGGAATGAAGACGACTTATAATAGCAAATGCCATTTTTTTGAAGGAAAAAAAAAACTTGTTTTCAGAAAACATTAGAGGAAATTTGGAAATTTTTTGCATTGAGAAGAAGCTTTACAGGTAAATAGATTTGGCAGGCAGGCTCTGTCAAAATTCTGCAGATTTGATCTTCCTTCCTAAGGACTTAGTGTGAAGTGATTCTGTACTGCTTTTTAAATTGCTGTTGATCAGCTTGTGGGTTTTGGGGTTCTAACTTTTCTGGTATATTGAAGATACATTATATTACATTTTTTAAAGTTAAGTTATTTTTCTGCCATTGTAAATACAAGTATCAAAATATTCTTGCAAAGCAGTTCTCAGTAAACATTTTTCTCAGCAACCATATCTTTTTATTAAGAGGGTGGAATGCTAACAGTTCTTGTATAGCATTTTGGACACACTTATTTTTTGTCAGAGGTCCTGTCTCCACTGAAAATATTAACTATATAAACTTCTTGTCCTTTTCACGTCGACATTGGATCACATGGTCACCTGCCTCATGGAAATGCCTTTTTTAAAACTTAGATTTGCAGAACTCCACTATTTTTATACCTAGCCACGGTTTTAGGAAGAAAAAAGGAATCAGAACCCTGACCCTCTCCCGGTTACTGGGACAGTCCCCTTCCCGCATGTATTGCTGCAGTGCCCAGGACAGTAAAATGGACTACAAGCGGCGCTTCCTGCTTGGCGGGTCCAAGCAGAAGGTGCAGCAGCACCAGCAGTACCCAATGCCCGAGCTGGGCCGAGCACTGAGTGCTCCCCTGGCGTCTACGGCCACCACCGCCCCCCTGGGCAGTCTGACCGCTGCAGGCAGCTGCCACCACGCCATGCCCCACTCCACTCCCATTGCCGACATCCAGCAGGGCATCTCCAAGTACCTGGACGCCCTCAACGTTTTCTGCCGTGCCAGTACTTTCCTCACAGATCTCTTCAGCACTGTGTTCAGGAACTCTCACTACTCCAAGGCAGCCATGCAGCTCAAAGATGTGCAGGAGCACGTCATGGAAGCAGCCAGTCGGCTGACTTCAGCCATCAAGCCTGAGATTGCCAAGATGCTGATGGAACTTAGTGCTGGGGCTGCGAACTTGACAGATCAGAAGGAATTCAGTCTCCAGGACATTGAGGTAGAGTATCTTCTCTGTCATACTTGGGTTGGAAAGTGTTTTCCAGAGGTAAGTGAGAATGTTGTTTAGTTTTTTCTCAAATCACTGAAAGATGGTCTTCGTCCTCTTTCCATTGATACTCTGTTCTTGTGAAAAAAATTTTTTTTTGCATGCCAGGTTTTGAATTGCTTTAATTTTAAATTAAGTAGGATAAAAGATTATTAAACAAATGAATTAGCCTAGATTTTCTTTAAATTTTCAACTTGGAGCTTAATTTCCAAATAACATGCTGTTAATGTACACAGTGATGTGATGTGCTGTGATTTGATAGTCACTTAGTCCTGTCCAACTCTTGCAACCCCATGGATTGTAGACCGCCAGGCTCCTCTGTCAGTGGGATCTCCCAGGCAAGAATACTGGAGGGGGTTGCCATTCCCTTCTCCAGGGGATAAAGTACACAGTAGGGACTGAGAATTCTAAATGTGATTATAAAGATTTATTTGCGAATTGTCATTATATAGACCCATTGGTTTAATGTAGCAAGTTCTACACATGTTTATAGGATAAAGGTATTTTTCCAGTTCTAAATTTACAGTTGTTCACATTAGGATGCATTTGATTCTTATTCAGGACATTTCTTTGGTCTTTGATAGTCAAAATGAAATATTCTCCCTTTTTCAGGGCTTTAGATTATAAAACTGGAATATGAATTTCATTCAGAATAAAGGTGATGTTTTTCCTTCATTTAGAAAATAATTGTTAAACTGTCATCTGTTAAATTCGCTTCACTGCTAGATTTTTAAAATTATTTTTAGTTGCTCAGAGAGTTCTTCTGAGTTTGATTTTTCCATGTGTCCTTGTACATTTTAGCAACACATCAGAGATTAGGTTTCTGGATGCTAGGAGGGAGAGTGTTTTTTCAGCATCCTGGGGTTGTATTTGATTTTCGGAAATCACCAGTCTTCTGAAACAAATCTGATGATTGCAGTGGCTGAATAAGCTAATTTATACTGTTGTGGGTTTGGGGGGAACAAAAGCTAAGCTATTAAGTATTATGACTCACTTTTATTGTGTTTAAAAGGCATATTGTGATTTGGAAAGCATTTCCAAGAGGAATTTTTTTGTTTTAATTTATTTTCGGCTGTGCTGGGTCTTCACTGCTGCACAGGTTTTCTCCAGTTGTGGCGAGTGGGGGCTACTCTCTAGTTTGCAGCACGCCGACTTCTCATTGCAGTGTCTTCTGTTGTGGAGCATGGGCTCTAGGCGTGTGGGCTCAGTGGTTGTGGCACACGGACTTAGTTGCCCCACAGCATATGAGATCTTTTTGGACCTAGGGATCGAACACATGTCTCCTGCATTGCGAATTCTCAACCACTGAACCACCGGGGAAGTCCTCCAAGAGGAATTTTAAATTATTTTTGAAAAGACATAATAGTCTTGGTTTAAATCAGGCATTAGGCATCTTCAGATTTTTTTCTATAGAGGGCAAATAGTAAATTTTAGGCTGCGTGGGCCACGTGTCTCTGTCACAAACTCTTTGTTTTTTTGGGTTTTTTTTTAATAACCCTTTAAGAATATGAAAACCAGTTTTCCCTTGTAGACTTGTCTATTGGACTGGATTTGGCCTGTTGCTGAATCTGCTGGTATAAATGTACACGTGTGTAATATCTTCCTTGGGTCATTCTGTTTTGAACCTATCCAAGTATATTTTTTATTTTCTGATTTTTTTTCCTGTGGTCATAGCATATAGAGAAAGCATGATTTTGAAGTGTTTTAAAAAATGGCATATCATAGTTTAAAGTATTTTTTTTAATTACACATGTAAATCATATATAAAGCATATTTAAAAAAAAACATGTACTTCTCAAAAGAAACTCAAGCAGTAAAATTTAACACTACTGCTCAACTCTGCCATCCCATTCCTTTTCCCAGAAGAGACCACCGTTAACTAGGTTGGTGTGTGCCATTCCAGACTACTGTGTATACATGCACAGATACACAGCTGTGACTTCTGTTTGTTTTATGTGAAGAACCAAGTTCAGCTGCCTGTGTGCTTGATTGCTGCTGGGCAGAGATGTGACAGGGGAGCGCTTAGAGGCTCTACCTTCTCTGAAACAGTTGAACCAGGCCCAGACTGTTATAGCTATCATCCTATAATGGCACAACCATCATTAGCTTTATTTAGAATTTCAGGCAAGAGTGGTTTGGAAAATGAGGCCAGAGCCTCTTATTTTAACATGAACATTACTGAGCTCTTCTTCAGGCCATGCCTCCAATTGCTGGAAGAGACAGAGCTAGGCCTCCAGGACCATTTCCCTTTCGACCCAATAGGGCAAGTGTCCTTGTTCCCCAGGACAGGACAACTAGAGAAGGATGAAGTAACCCTGAGGACTTGGAGTTCAGTAATCCACTGGGTGCAGTAGCACTTAGCCGGTCCCTTCTGCTTTTCTGGGACCAGTGTGGACCATTTGAGCTGAGAAAGGGAAGTATTTCTTGTTGTGTTTTGGAATTTTGGCTTGACTTTCCCCACTGAAATGTGATTAGGATAGCTGGAACACTACCATGTTTTTGTGTATAATGGGCTAAACAGGCTTTCAGAGTCTAAGCTGGAAACTAAGTGCTGTTGATGGGTTTTAGAATCTATGCTTGTATTCTGGGTTTCAAACTGCTGACTTATAAGTAAATCCTGAAATGTGATTGCCAAATGTAGGCCTGCAGACTTAACATTTTGCTCTTTCCACAGAACGGTATTTGTTGTTTCTGGAATTTATGTACTGCCGTGGTCCCTCTCTCTCAGGATATTCACCAATTCAGATAGAATAGTTAGGCATTTTTTCCCCTGTGTTGGCTTTTAAAGATTTTATCAGCAAGGCCCAGAGACACTCTTTTGCATTCATCCTTGGGGAAAGACTCTGTGGTCTAACATTGATGAACTTGACTGACTAGGCAAGGACCTGTGCTTGGCAACTGAGCCTAGGACTGTGGTTAAAGAAAGCCCTGAATTCAGTGTTCAAATGCTTGACCATTTTAAACCTGAGACATACTAGTTCCACTGTCCTACCCCTCGAGGGGGCGAAAACATGCTTCTGATGCTCCCTGAGTTAAAGTCAGGTTTGGGATATGCTCACTGATTGACAGACCCTGCTGCCTGTGTCGAGGAACTGCAGTTGCTGACTGTGCTCTGGGGCAGGCAGGGTATACATGAGTCTTGTCCTGTCTGTATTCATTATTGACTCTACACCTTACATCAAGTGGTTCACCCTCATAATCTCACTGTTAGAGAAGTAAGTTGTGAGTATTAACTAGTGCTTGTGACACTGCTTATTGTGGGGCATGGAATCAGAAAATGTGGGTTTAGAAAATGACTCTGCTTCTTATTGTCTGTGTGATGTTGAGCAAATCTTCTAACATCTAAGGCTCAGTTTGCCCATCTGTAAAATGGAATTACTATCCACCTTCACAAGAGTTCTTGTGAAGATCAGAAGCAATTAGTGTGTGAAATACTGTACCCAGTTAGTTGTCATCCCATGTTATTATTGCTTCCAACATGGCCTGAAAGGTACTATTAGCCCTTCTCTGAAGTACAGAGCACAATTGTGTACCAAGCCAGCATCAGAGAGGAATGTACAGCAGGTTGTTCTTCTCACCAGAACGCTTTTAGGTGGAAAAAGTTGCCACTCCTAGGACATTTGCTCTACTCCTTTCTTTCCTGCTTCCTTAGGCAGGCCACCTCCCTTTCCCTTCTACCTTATCGTCTCTTTGGGTGTTACAAGATGGCAACAGTATTATCTTGCTCGATGTAAAAACTGTCAGGATCTTTTCAGCATAACAGCCCGTAGGGACCTCTTCTACCAGGAGTCACTGCTCTATTACCTTGTAACTAGAATTCCCAGGTGGTGCAGTGGTCAAGAACCCACTTTGCCAGTGCAGGAGATGCAAGAGATGCAGGTTCAATCCCTGGGTCGGGAAGATCCCCTGGAGTAGGAAAGAGCTACTCACTCCAGTATTCTTGCCTGGAAAATTCCATGGACAGAGGAGCCTGTTGGGCTACAGTCCATGGGGTTGCAAAAGAGTCAGACATGACTGAGCAACTGAGCATGCACAGAATGGGGAGACTCAGGGAAGGGAATGGAGAGGGAGGTGGGACACTTGGAGTAGCCAGGAATTTTTGAACAAGCCAGTTGACAGTTCAGGTGGGATTTCCCCCCCTCTGGATTTATAGAAAATGTAGAGTTTACTTTGTATATGAACTGGAATGTTGTCTAAAATGAGAAGTATGATCTTAATCAAGTGCTCTGTGGGGATTCCTTTGTGTAAGTCTCAAACTAGCAGTCCAGCCAAAGTGAATTCAGGAAAAATATGGTTTTCCATGTTGAATTTGTTCATCATATAAAGCTTTGACATCCTACAGCATTTTTTACAGGTAGGCCACATGAGACCTGCTGTCTCTATCTTTTCGAGTCTAGGGGCATCTCCATTGGTGTGTTAATTCCAATGAAAGGCCAGGCTTCATGAGCTGAGTGGCTGTGAGTTCTCTTTGGTTTTGTCTACCTCAGTTTTATTTGTCCTAAAAATCTGTTACCCTAACTGATACTGAGCCTTAGACTCACTTGCAAGCAAAACATGTAGTTCATATTAAAGAAGTATAGGCAGTCCCCTAACTAGGTTTTCTGTTTATTAGAAAGTCACAAATGTTAACTTCTTTTTATAAATATCTGTCACTCGTTTTAAATGAAATTACCTTTTCAGTGCAAATATGTGAGTGAAAGAATGAAACTGACTTTGTAGTTCATGTGTTCATTACACAGATGTATATTGCACACTTTGTGCCAGGCATAGAGGAAGCAGCGGGGAACAAGACAGAAGTGCCTCCTTTCATGCAGATAAATGAGGACTGTGATCTTAGATACTTGGTTAGAAAAGGCATCAGTGAGAATGTGATATTTGAGAAAGAAACTGGGGGAGATGAAGAAGCAGGCCTTGATGATAGCCAGCAAAGAGGGTTCTGGGGAGAGGGGTCA